GTCATACTTCCTGGTTCTAGTAAGAACTCTAGCTGCCACATTTTGGACCAGCAGGAGTTTGTTTATTAAGCGTGCAGAACAACCTCCCAATAAAGCATTACAATAATCTAACCTTGAAGATCGTGTCTGAGTTTGGAGTGTCTGATGCCCATATGTACATAAACACCACTGATCCTCACAAATTTCTCCAGAACATCCATTATAAAACGTGCTGTACATTGATTTTGACAATTACAGGAACATACAGAACTGTGTTCCTGCAGAAATATGCTGTTTTATGCAGCGCAGAAAGAAAAATAAAGCACACTATCAGGAGACGGATTCATTCTGAGTCAATTCAGCCTCTGTGTTGTAATGAGTGCTGTTGCAGTACGGACTGTATTCGGACTTCCTGTTTGACAGTCTCAGTGTTACTAACCGTGGGTTTTGCAGTGTTCAATAAAGAGTATGCAACTATATCGGCGTTAATCGTCCATCTATTTATGATAGAGAATAGAATGAAACATGGTGGTAGCGGTGCTTCTTTGAAGAGGGGGAGCACAGAGATTAAGCGAACACAACATGAGAGACCGGCTGCGTAGTATGGTTGAGAGAGCGGAGAGTTCAGGCGCAGGGCGGATGGAAAATTCACTGGGACTGAGACCGCCACCAACCCTTTGCTTGGACTCAACTAATCTGGCAAAATCATGGAAAACGTGGAAAGAAGAGTTCACGCTGTATATGGATCTCACTTTGGCGGATGCCGGCGAAGACGTGAAACTGAAAGTTTTCAGCTATCTCACTGAGGAAACGGGAAGAGAGCTGTGCGAGACCCTAATCCCCTCCTCGTCACCGGATCGGACTGTAGACCGATTAATGATTGCCTTGGATGGTCACTGTAGTCCAAAAGTGAATGAGACAGTCGAAAGGTACAGTTTTTTGTCAGGAATCAGAGTTCCGATAAGAACATTGACAAATATGTAACACACTTAAGAATGCTCGCCAGTACGTGCAATTTCGGCCAGATCAAAGACTCTCTCATCCGCGATAGAATTGTTTGCGGCATAACCAGCTCTGTTTTGAGGGAGAGACTTCTGAGGGAGCAGGATTTGACTTTGGAAAAATGTTTGCAAATCTGCAGAGCAACAGATTTGTCGAGAGAAAACAACAGAACAATTGAAGGGCGAGTGGTAGAGGAAGTGCTTGCAGTAAAACATGCAGTGAGAAAAGAGGATGGTAAGAGCACAGTAAACTGTAAGTTTTGTGGGAAGATTCCTGACAGAAATAAAAAGAAATGTCATGCATATGGGAAAAAATGCAAAAACTGTGGAAAAGACAACCTTTTTGCTGCAATGTGCAGAACTAAAATGCAGAAAGGAAAAACAGTTCATGCTGTCACAGAGTCAGATGAGGAAAGTTATGAAGACATCTTGTGTGTAACAGTAGAGACAGTAAACACAGTGATGGAGGATAAACAGAGACCGCCCTCAAAACTTTTTGCTGCCATGCTCCTAGGAAAAGAACAGGTGAAGTTTCAGTTAGATTGTGGAGCTAGTTGTAATATAATACCTGTCAACTTGTTAAACCCAGCCACACAAATTGAAAAGACTTAGAAAGTGCTGGAGATGTACAATAAAAGCACACTACAGCCAGTGGGAAAATGTAAAGTCAAACTGAGAAACCCTAGAAACAAGAAATTGTACAGAGTAGAATTCATGGTTGTTGATGAGGGGTCTGCAGTGCCACTACTGTGCAGCAGAGCAGTACAAGCCATGAACCTAGTGAAAGTCCAGTATGAAAACATCATGGCTGTGGACAGCATTGTCACAGAGGAGACTGAAAAAGTTGAAAAGTGGAGCATGGATAATATCAAAAAAGACTATGCTGATGTGTTCCAGGGAGATGGTTGTTTGGAGGGTGCATATAAGATCGAAACAGACCCAAAAGTAACTCCAGTGAAACTTCCAAAGAGAAGGGTCCCTGTTGTGATGATGGCACCACTAAAAGCAGAGCTGAGTGATCTTCAACAAAGAGGGATCATCACACCAGTAGACTGTAGCACAGAATGGATTAGCAGTCTTGTCATTATCAGGAAGCCATCAGGAAACCTTAGGATATGCATAGGCCCAAGACCACTCAACAGAGCTCTGAAAAGATGTCACTTCCCATTGCCAACAATAGACGACATATTGCCAGATTTATCAAGAGCAAAAGTCTTCACTGTGTGTGAGACGTCAAAAACTGATTTTGGCATGTGACTCTGGATGAGGAATCAAGTTACATGACCACATTCGTCACACCGTATGGCAGGTACAGATGGCTGAGGATGCCAATGGGCATCGGTCCCACGCCAGAGGTGTTTCAGAGAAAACTCAATCAAGCTCTGGAAGGATTGCAGGGTATCTATATCATCGCCAATGACATCCTGATCACTGGAGAGGATGAAACTTAGAAAGAGCAAACCAGGACCATGACGACAAACTGAGAGCAGTGTTGAACAGATGTAGAGAAAAGAACATCAAACGAATGCAGAAAAGTTTCAACTGAGAAGAAACAAGGTTCCTTACATTGGACATTTACTTACTGCAGACGGGCTCAGAGTCGACCCTGAGAAGGCAAGAGCGGTCAGAGATATGCCACGCCCAACAGATGTCAAGGGCGTACAAAGATTCCTCGGCATGATAAACTATCTCTCAAAATTCTGTGATCACCTGTCAGATGGATGTGAGACACTGAGGCAGCTAACCCATAAAGACACAATCTGGGAATGGTCAGATGCACATGAGAGAGCATTCACACGGTTCAAAGATGCCATCACCAAAGCGCCAATACTAAAATATTACAACCTAGATGAACCACTGACACTTCAGTGTAACGTGTCTGAGGCGGACTTAGGAGCCGCTTTACTTCAGGAGGGGGCAACAATTGCGTATGGAAGCAGGGCACTAACTCAGATAGAAAGGGGTTATGCCCAGATAGAAAAGGAATGTTTGGCCATCATCTACGGTATGGAAAAATTCCATCAGTATACATATGGGCACAAAGTAACGGTTCACTCCGACCATAAACCACTAGAAAATATAGTTAGGAAACCACTGCTGAACACCCCAAAACGCCTGCAAAGAATGTTACTTAGACTGAAAAGATATGACATCGAAGTTAAGTACATCCCAGGGAAGGACATGTTACTAGCCGACACACTGCGCCGTTCATACTTACCTGAATATGCATCAGAGGGTTCAGTAGAAATGGCGATTGAAAGCATAAACATGGTCCAGCAGAGGAATATAGGTCCATATAGCAGAGGAAAGAATGCAGGCCATCAGAGAGGAAACAAGCAAAGACAGAAAATTACAGACATTGATCAAATTAATCCAGGAAGGGTGGCCAATGAACAAGAAAGACATGCAAAGTGACATTGCACATTACCATTCTTTTCAAGAGGAACTGAGCGTGCAGAGTGGAATTGTCTTCAGGGGGGAGAGAGTTGTAATACCAAACACACTCAGAGGTGACATAGTTCAGCGAATTCCTCGTCACATTTGGGCATAGAGGGATGCTTAAGCTTGGGGATGAATGAACAAATAAAGACATTCATAGAAAAGTGTGACATCTGCAGGGCAATGGATGAGAAACAGCAGAAGGAGACTTTGTGGCCTCATGAGCTTCCCAGCAACCCATGGTCTAAGGTAGGAACAGAAATGTTAATTTTAGACAAAAGAAATGACCTGATCACTGTTGATTATCTCTCTAATTTCTGGGAGCTTGACTATTTACCTGACACACAACCCACCACTGTCATTCACAAGCTGAAAGCCCACTTTGCAAGACACGGTATCCCGGATGTTATCTCAGATAACGGCCCGCAATACGCATCAGAAGAATTCAATAGGTTCAGTAGACAGTGGGAATTTAAACTCAAGACATCATCACCAGCCTACCCGCAGAGCAATGGGATGGCAGAAATGGCGTTAAAAACTGCAAAACAGCAAAAGGCAAAAGCTGATGGGAAGGATCTGTACCTAGCTATGCTTGACCATAGAAACACACCATCACAGGGGATCAAAGCAAGCCCAGCACAGCGGTTGATCAGTAGGAGAGCCAGAACACTGTTGCCAACGCATGATAGCCTGTTAAAACCAAAAATAGAACAAACACGACAGGAGCAGATGGAAAGCAGAAACCGTCAAGCTACATACCTTAAAACAAGGAGACCGAGTTCGTGTCCAGCCAGTGGAGCCTAATGGTACTTGGCGAAAAGGCACAGTTGTGAAACATGTGGACTACAGATCTTATGCCGTCCAGCTCGATTCCGGGAACATTCTAAGGAGGAATCTGAGACACCGGAACGACAGGGCCACAGGAGTGAAGAAATTACATATCAAACAGCCAACTGAGGAATTCAGAGTCAAAGTGACAGGCTTAAAATCAAGTAAAGACACTCCTGTGGTTACTACAACAAAGTCTGGAAGAAGAGTCATTAGACCTCATTACCTCAAAGACTACACACAGTAACCCATTAATGCTTGCCTTTATTACAGCCTCCAAAGTTTAGCTGGTATATTTTTTACCTTCAGTTATAGTGTGCATCTTGTAAGTCCCAACTATAGGAAAAAAGAACAAAAAAACAAAAAAAAGGGGGAAAAGCTGAACAGTAAAGATGGAACTCTATTTAGTGATGAGTTATTAACTGAAGAGGACCATTTATTTTGTTATATAAGTTTAAGTACAAGGAAGAAGTATTAGTTTCCATTCATTTGTAATTCAATTACAAATACAGATTCACTAAATGATGCGGACAGGAAAACTTTTATTCTATTTTAGGAGAAGTTTTAGACAATACAAAGTAGATGTGAATCTATACATAATGTTTTGAGTAGCATTGCAGGTTGTAATCTATTTGAAAAAAAAGAAAGAAAGAAAAAAGAAAAAGGATGTTGTAATGAGTGCTGTTGCAGTACGGACTGTATTCGGTGCCACACCGGTGGACTTCCTGGTTAAGAGTCTCAGTGTTTCTGACCGTGAGTTTTGCAGTATTCAATAAAGAGTACGCAACTATATCGGCTTAATCGTCCATCTATTTATGATAGAGAACAGAACACTCTGTGTTTCATTCTGCTGATCTCAGTAACACTTCATGATTAAATGACTCCAATTTACTTTTATTACATTTGATGATCAGTTTACAATATAAATATTAAAGCAAACATATTGTTTCTTTAAGATTCAGATCAGCATGCGTCTGATCTAGATTTAAAACTTCTGGATGACAATGAAAAACTAATTAAAAATGAATTAATAGAAATGTAATGATGTGAGATTTGATGAGTTTGTGTGCATGTGAACATCAGAAAGAGGATTTACAGAGAGTCTCTCTATCGTTTAATATCACACAGAGACACTGAAGAACCATAATCAACTCTAAACCCAGCACAGAGGGGTTCAGTGAATGTGGTGCTGAATGTGGGTAAGTGTGTGAGTGTGTGTAAGTGTGTGAGTGTGTGTGTGTCAGAGACGCTGTAGAAGGACAGAGAGCCGGCCGACACGTCCAGATACACTCCTGCTCTATTAGAGGATGAACGGACCACAGGTAAATCAGTTCTGTTATAATTGTGCCAGACAGTGAATCTGTTATCAGAGCAGTACAGATTCCAGGATTTGTCATTGAATCCAAACAAACAGTCACTCCCTCCTTTCCTGTTGACTCCTTTATATGACACTGATATAGCAGCATAATCTCCTCTCCATTCAGCCTCCCAGTAACAGCGTCCAGTCAGACTCTCAACACACAGAACCTGAGGAGCATCATCAAATATCTCCGGATGATCAGGATACGGCTGATCCTCAAACACACGTCTGATCTTCCTGTTCTCATCAGACAGAATGAGTTCAGTGTGTGCTGTGTTTGGATCCAGTGTGAGATCACAGGCATCTGAACACAAGAAGAGAGAAACATCAAGAACAACACAACAGTGAAGATGTCTGTGTATTTACAGCTTTGACTGTATTTGCAAAGTCCAAACTGTCCTCACTATTCACAGATGTCCTCACTATTCACACGTGTTCACTAATATAGTGAAAGCTGTGTTTCAGTGTTAAAGTGTAATGATAGCAGTCTTTCAGCAGCAGCGGCTCGGTTGGGTTCCCGCTGACAGACGCTGCTTTCAGACGATCCTGTGTGTGTTTGTGTGTCTGTGAAGAGCATCAATGCTTTCTATTTACAGTGTGTTTCTGCAGCACTGATCACTGTAGCCAATCACAGACATGTTTGTTGAGTGCGTGAACACAACGGCCAATCAGAGGCGTTTATTCAGAATCCGCTCAATACACCAGAGTTTGTTCAGTGTGAGCTCTGCACTCTCAAATCGTTTCTCTATAAATAAAATAGATACAGTAGTTTTTACTATGGTATTGAAATTGGTATGGAAAACTGAAGTTTTGGTAGTAATGATATCAGTAATGTTTCAATTAATGAATCTTTTGTTTAAGCTTTATATTCATATATCACATTAAAACAGCAATGATAAAAGTATTTACACAAGAAATATAAACATAATAATAACTATAAGAAATAAAATATAATTAATCAATTAGCAATTCTAAATAACTGAAGACTGAAAGAGAAAATTAAACTGGCAGTGAGATCAATTAATAATTAACAGTCCAGCTGTCAGAAAAACTATAATGAAATTATTTTTCAAATGTGTGATTTACTGAGGAAAGTAAAGCATGACAAATATAGATTAATAAAGTACCAGATAAATAAATAAATAAATAAAATTTTAAAAACGTGTGCCAACCAAATTAAATTATTTAAACAAATCAAAGTTATAACAGATTCGGCCACACACCGGGAGAAAGTAATAATGAACTATTTTCCAGTAAGCGGGGAGTGAACTTTTTCATTTATGCAAGGAAGGAGCACCATATTTTATAAAGTCAGAACTTTTTGTTTGTTATTTTGGTCTTGTTCTTCCTGAAGCCAACGATTCTCATTTAAGTTGTTATTTTTCTGTTGAATACCTTGCTCCATTTTTGTGAGCATTCAGTAAAATGATGAAAAGGGAGCTTGTTGTTTGTGGTGCTGTGACAGAGATCAGATGAGTGCTCTTTTAAATCCTTAATATTGTCATTTGAAACCATGCAATAAAATAAAGATGCAATAATATCAGCCATCTAGCCAGGAGAGACACAAAGCCATAAAACCTTCCTTGTAACCGAAAAAATGAACTGAAGTGAAGCAAACAGTGCTGTTATAGCCACAGCTTTTTAATTTTTCTGCTCCAGACGGATAGTTTTGATTGAAGCCACAGGCCTTGTCCACACTAATAGTCCACACTAATACACTTTTGTTTGAAACTGATGATTGAAGTAAGATGGCACCGCAGACGGCCACCTCAGTGCTTGGCTCTCCAGTGTTTGTACTGTTTTTGTTAATTTTTTTCCTGTTTTTTTGTTTCTCAAACATGATCAGTTTTGCCAGGGATGAACTGCTGTACATTCGCAAGAACACACCACAGAATCTTCTACCGGATTCCAATTATTCGGAACGTTTTGCTGAACGTTGTAGTTGGTGGAGCAGCGGCGCTGATCAAACGCTTATGGACGCGCAGACGGGGGAAGAGAGCCGGCGTGCTCGTGAAGCTAGACAGCGCAAATTTCTTCTGCTCTCCCGGACAAATAAGGATTTTTCACACTCTGCTGCTCTGTGTTTCACAGAAACCTGGCTGAATGACGCCATTCTGGACAACGCGCTACATCTGCCGGGCTTTCAGCTGTTTAGAGCGGATCGCGACGCAGAATCAACGGGGAAATCGCGCGGCGGTGGGATATGTTTTTACATCAACGAAAGGTGGTGTACAGATGTAACAGTGTTAAAGAAGATGTGCTGTCCCGATCTGGAAGCACTCTTCATAAACTGTAAACCGTTCTACTCGCCGCAGGAGTTTTGCTCGTTCATTCTTGTGAGTGTTTACATTCCTCCGCAAGCGCACATGAGCTCAGCTCATGAACTGCCAAAATACAGACAGCATGTTACATGTCCCACTAGAGACAGTAATATATTGGATCACTGTTACACCACAATTAAGGATGCATAACGCTCCGTCTCACGGGCAGCTTTGGGGCTCTCTGATCACTGTTTAGTTCATCTTATACCGACCTACAGGCAGAAACTGAAATCAGCTAAACCTGTATCAAGGACTGTACAAAGATGGACTAATGAAGCAGAGCAGGATTTACAAGCTTGTTTTGATCTCACTGATTGGAGTGTTTTTGAAGCTGCTGCCACCGATCTGGACGAGCTCACAGAGACTGTAACATTTTATATCAGTTTCTGTGAAGATATGTGCATTCCTACCAGGACTCACTTAACCTACAACAACCATGGTTCACTGCAAAACTCAGACAGCTCTGTCAGGCCAAAGATGCTCGCAGGAATGAGGACAGATTCTTGTTTAAACAGGCCAAATACACACTGGTAACGCTCCGTCTCACGGGCAGCTTTGGGGCTCTCTGATCACTGTTTAGTTCATCTTATACCGACCTACAGGCAGAAACTGAAATCAGCTAAACCTGTATCAAGGACTGTACAAAGATGGACTAATGAAGCAGAGCAGGATTTACAAGCTTGTTTTGATCTCACTGATTGGAGTGTTTTTGAAGCTGCTGCCACCGATCTGGACGAGCTCACAGAGACTGTAACATTTTATATCAGTTTCTGTGAAGATATGTGCATTCCTACCAGGACTCACTTAACCTACAACAACCATGGTTCACTGCAAAACTCAGACAGCTCTGTCAGGCCAAAGATGCTCGCAGGAATGAGGACAGATTCTTGTTTAAACAGGCCAAATACACACTGGAAAAGGAGATCAGAGTGGCAAAGAGGAATTATACTGGAAAGCTAAGGAACCAGTTATTTTCCAGTGATCCTGCTTCAGTGTTGAAAGGTCTGAAAGACATCACCAATTACAAGATACCATCCCCCCGCACTGTGGAAAATCAACAACTGGCAGACGATCTGAACGAGTTTTATTGCAGGTTTGAAAAAACCCCATTCACTCCTTCTGCAGCCCCCCCTCCAGCACTCCAGATCAGTGAAGATGATGTGCGTCAGGTCTTCAGAAAGAACAAGAAAAGAAAGGCATTAAGGCTCAGACTGTGTGACACCAGCCTGTCTGAAAACCTGTGCTGACCAGCTGGCCCCCCCATCTTCACACAGATCTTCAACAGATCACTGGAGCTGTGTGAAGTCCCCTCATGCTTCAAACGCTCCACCATCATCCCCGTCCCAAAGAAAACCTACATTGCTGGACTTAATGACTACTGACCCTAGGCTCTAACATCTGTGGCCATGAAATAATTTGAACAACTGGTTTTGGCTTATCTGAAGGACATCACTGTACCCTTACTGGACCCCATGCAGTTTGCCTACAGAGCAAACAGGTCTGTGGATGATACAGTCAACACGGGGCTGCATTACATCCTGCAACATCTAGACAGACCAGGACTTATGTGAGGATCCTGTTTGTGGACTTCAGCTCGGCTTTTAACACTATCATCCCAAACCTCCTCCTGCCCAAATTAACTCAGCTCTCAGTGCCCACCTCCATATGTCAGTGGATCACCAGCTTCCTGACAGACAGGCAGCAGCTAGAAAAGCTAGGAAAATTCTTATCCAGCACCCGTACGATCAGCACTGGCACCCCCCAGGGTTGCGTCCTTTCTCCACTGCTCTTCTCCCTCTACACAAATGACTGCACTCCAAAGGACTCCTCTCTGTCAAGCTCCTGAAGTTTGCAGACGACACCACACTCATCGGCCTCATTCAGGATGGTGACGAGTCTACTTACACTGGTTTTGGCTTATCTGAAGGACATCACTGTACCCTTACTGGACCCCATGCAGTTTGCCTACAGAGCAAACAGGTCTGTGGATGATACAGTCAACACGGGGCTGCATTACATCCTGCAACATCTAGACAGACCAGGACTTATGTGAGGATCCTGTTTGTGGACTTCAGCTCGGCTTTTAACACTATCATCCCAAACCTCCTCCTGCCCAAATTAACTCAGCTCTCAGTGCCCACCTCCATATGTCAGTGGATCACCAGCTTCCTGACAGACAGGCAGCAGCTAGAAAAGCTAGGAAAATTCTTATCCAGCACCCGTACGATCAGCACTGGCACCCCCCAGGGTTGCGTCCTTTCTCCACTGCTCTTCTCCCTCTACACAAATGACTGCACTCCAAAGGACTCCTCTCTGTCAAGCTCCTGAAGTTTGCAGACGACACCACACTCATCGGCCTCATTCAGGATGGTGACGAGTCTACTTACAGACAGGATGTTAAAGAGCTGGCTGTCTGGTGCAGTCTTAACAACCATGTCAATCACAAGTACAGTATAGAGTACCTCAAGGCTCAGTACCAGGACCGTTACTTTTCACGCTTTACATGTTACCCTTGGGAGATATCATCAGAAAGCACGGTGTTAGCCTTCACTGTTATGCTGATGATACTCAGCTCTATATTTTTTCGCTGCCCGGCGAAACGTACCAATTTGAAAAAGTAATGGAATGCATATATCTAAATTACGACCTATGCTCTCAGTATTTGAAAGAGCTCTTATTGCATAATAGTCCTCCACGTCCGCGGTGTTCTCAAAACTCTGGCCATTTGATAATACCTAGAATATCAAAATCAACTGCCGGCGGTAGATCCTTTTCCTATTTAGCGCCCAAACTCTGGAATAATCTACCTAACATTGTTTGGGAGGCAGACACACTCTATAAGTTTAAATCTAGGTTAAAGACCCATCTCTTTAACCTGGCTTACACATAACACACTAACACATTTCTGATATCCAAATCCATTAAAGGATTGTTGGGCTGCATTAATTAGGTCAACCGGAACCGCAAACACTTCCCATAACCCCTGATGTACATGTTACATCATTAGAAGAATGACATCTACGCTAATATTAGTTTGTTTCTTTCTTATTCCGAGGTCACCGTAGCAGCCAGATCCAGTCTGTATCCAGATCAGACGGTCACTGCAGTCACCCGGATCCAGTACGCATCCAGCCCAGATGGTGGATCAGCACCTAGTGACGACCACTACAGCCCTGAATGTCAGCTGAGTTCAGGTTTTTTTTCTCCATTCTGTCACCGATGGCGTTTTGGTTTCTTGCCGCTGTCGCCTCTGGCTTGCTTAGTTGGGGACACTTATTTTCCAGCGATTTCGTAGACATGATTGCACAGATACTATTTAAACTGAACTGAGCTGGATGATGACATCACTGAATTCAATGATGAACTGCCTTTGACTGAAAATTTAGTGTTTACTACTGTCCTTTTGCATTATTGGCAAACTATTGTTCTATATAATACTGTAAAGCTGCTTTGTCACATTCTGAATTGTTAAAAGCTCTATATAAATAAAGATGACTTGACTTGTGAGTGTGAATGTGTTTGTGTGTGAGAGTGTGAGTGTGAGTGTGTTTGTGTGAGAGTGTGTTTGTAGACCTACACTTTCGTGGTCCTGCTGTCATCCTGATCTCTCCTCCATGATCCACACTATAAACACACAAACACACATTCACTAGTTCACACTCACAAATAATCCGACTGAGCATATTTGGCGTGCTGTCCAAGGGGAGGCTCCGAGATCAGAATACAGCCAGATAACTCCCCAATATCCCATGCTGGGACAGGAATAGTTAGAGCTGATCAGGGTCTGATGGGCTTTTTAACATGAAATCGATTGGATCTTATAAAGCTTTTGAAAACATCTGATAAGCATCGACAGAGGGCTTGGATCTGCTGCTGAGAGAGGCCCTTTTGAGCCGCTGTGGTTGCTGCCTGATGAGAAAAGAATGGCTAGAAAAATTGTCTGCTGGTTTGCCTGATTGAACGAGAACCAATTTGAGGTGATTTTGGAATTTAAAATGAGTGACAGGGTGGTTAGAGTCGCCTAAAAGAGGGTTGAAAAGGGATTTAGCCTGGAAGTTCCTGAATTGGAGAAAAGAGAGTCTGATACGGTTGAATTGGAGAAGGGAGGTTAAAAATGTAGATATAGTGGCCTCGTTTTGCTTGATCTGTCTTACTTTGTTTGATGAAATAAGAGATGGTCTCACTATCAAGGATATATCAGTCAGATATTGTAGGATGGACTTTAGGATTACAATGGGAGGTTATGGCGAGTTCTGAGCATCTTAAAAAGCTGAAAAATGGCAAGATAAACATGGCATTGAGTGTACGGGCGGTATTAACAGAGTGGTAGCTTGTGCGGAGACTATGGATGCATTTATAAGAATGTGGAGAGTAACGTCTGGCGTCCCGGCGAGATGGTTGGGAACATTGAATTCCTTTGATCAGGAGGGAGGTTTAAGAATTAGTTATTTAAAGAGAGGGAGTGTCGTAAATTACTTTGTGAAAAAACTGGATGATGGACCCGACCTAAAGGCCTTTAACACTGTTAATGTAGGAGATAAAGGACGTGATAGAGAGGAGGGAGAAATCAGGAAAAAGCAGCTTAAACAAGAGGTGGAATGCTTAAAAACATTTCCATGCTGTGAGGAAAGATTGGAGGATTCTAGGAGAAACTGCTTGGAGAAAAGTGTCAAGAGATGCATCAAGGAGAGATTTTAATGGATGTGTTATGGCTCTTTTCCACTGAGCGGTACGAATCAGTACAGTACAATACAGCAGGATTCGGGACTGTAAACCCTTATCCGGCTGCAGTACCCTTACTTGATAGGTGCGGTATGTGCCGGAAATGTAACGATCAACGTCATTCTTGTGAGAAGAAGCACGACATTGTGTTTGTGCTCTCTGATATAAAAAAGCTCAACCAGTGGTGTAGCGAGTCAGCCCCGGGCCCTTACGCAAAAACATCTGTACGGCCCCCAAACATTACAGGTTAATGTGGGCTCCAGCGCTCCTTATTGTTGTTTTTTCTGAAGTAAAAACATTACGGGACTATTCACACGCTGTTTTATTGACTGTATAAATGCTTGGAAATAATATTTAACGTTTTCAAGTCAATTCATTTGTAGCGCGCCAGCCACCCAATAACCGCAATAAGCCTGTTTTGTTACTTTTAATATAACACAAATCGCAAATCACAAATCGCAAACCTTTTTTTTGGAGCAAATTTATTCACACAATGTAACACGACTTTAAATCTTGCAATTTTGACTTTATTCTAAAAAATATTATGGCACTAAAACGCTGTCATATTTACTAAATTACTTGATGCAAACACACTCTTGGCACATCGGCCCAAAACACAAAAACAGTGGCGCCTGCAGCTGTACGACGATGTGATGATTGAATCCTCATGGTCGTTTATGCTGCTATTCGTGCATATAAAGCTAAAGCCCTGTACAAAACAACACCAAAAAAAGACATTCTAATCTTACTGATTAACGATCGACTAATGAGCTTCGTTTGACGGTCAGGAATATAAAAATGAACAAAATGCTGTCAATCTACAATTCTCCAGCGTATTTACTATGCTGCGCGCAACTTCAGGTAACTCAAAAACTTGCGTAAACGAGCTGAGACCAGACGTGAGATTTGATCGTAGCCACCGCTCACGTCCATATTGATAAATTCCAAGTTTTGCGTTGAAACGACCGTACGCTCAATTTTCTGTCGTACGTTCGTTTCGTAAATGAGGCCCACTGTGTGCACCATGAGCGCTCCTGAGAAACGTTTGCCCTGCTATTATTTCAGCAATTATGTCACCCGTATTTCTCTCATGACCCTAATTATGAATTAATCATTATTCTGAGTCAGTTCTTTCACTGAACTTAACATATTTGTAAAATGGTCTGAATCAATTTGGCATGCGTTCGGACAGTTCTCTCACTGAATCATATGAAGCTTTCTTCCATCAGTAAAATAAACAGCATCGAGATACTTAAGAACACAGATAATAAATAGCGCTGGATGAAGTATATAACGCAGTAAAAACACATTGTAAATGGAAACCTTTGACGCTCTCCAGAGAGCAAACACAAATACGCACTGGATAGTTCACCAGATCTATTTCGTCAATATGTTAGTATTGCAGCTTCATCTGAGGGAGCTCTTGCTGTCTTTAGCACATCCGTAAAACAGGGCCAGAAGGGGATTGTTATATTTGTGGGTCCTTGGCATCAAACAGTTTGAAAAACTACTGATCTGTGGATCATAGGCATAGAATATATTCAGGGAAAGTGGGGAACGTGTCCCCCCCCCACTTTTAATAAAACGGAAATTTGTCCCCCACACTTTTTCGGGCAACTGTGTTTACATAGAGGTTTTCAGGGGCAACTGTCAATACATCTAGATTTAAATTCCAAGAGAAAAGATTGTCTATACATGACCTGGCTTTTTATTCGTATCCAAAATAAGGTAATGTGAACATTACGGAGCTCTAAACACTCTCAAGCAGTGTATGTTTCATTCATACTTGAAGACGGAGGGCGCTCTAGCGCAGAAAGTCCAAGATGGACTCATATAAGTAACAACTTATGACGTACCAGGAAATCCCTAATATGGACAAAGGCATCCAGTTATCGCTGAATAAAAAATGTGAAGAAGATACACGCACGATTGTGACAATATGGTTTATGTGTGTTTTTCCAAGTCATCTCCAGGTAATAAACAAAGTATCTGAATAAAGCATTTATTACAGTAGCCTATAGAAACTATAAAATATATTTTCTGCCTTATTCTGTGATCAAAATAAGAAAAAAAAGTGTAGTATATGAACAAATCATAAAATTGGCATTAGGAAAATATAGGGAAAAAATACTACAGAATACAAATGATTGGTTATTGTCCAGCAGTTTGATTTCTAAACCAATTAAAAGTAAGAAAAATAAATAAAACCTCTTAATTAGACCAAAAAAAAAAAGGTATTACATTTGACATTTCTGTCCCTCTCACTTCTGAAATGATGGCTATGCCCCTGCTGTGGACAATGCATTCAGTCTTTCTCACACACAAGACATTTACACGCAAGCAACTAAAATAATTTCGGGAAAGCAACTCATACACGAGTAATTCAAATTCACACACTCTCTCTTCAATCACTGCATAGCAACTACTACAAATAACTGAAACAAAAGGCTACTTATTGAAAGGTAACTTTGACTAAATTAAGCTGTCGTGAATAAGCGGCCATTCACACCGACAGTAGGCTATTTAATTTTTTTTTTTCAATCGTAAATATCCACTTCATCAGGGCTGTTTTGTTCTCTGTAATTGTTTTCCTCTTCGTTATTTTGTTATCATTCACAACTTCTGACATTCGAAATGGAAATAACTGCATTCTGTACCGTACTGTACTGAACTGTACCACTCAGTGGAAATGAGCCATTAGTTCTGAATAATGAGGAACTGGTGTTGGGGATAGATCTGCCTCTGGAGCCAGCAGCCTGAATTTTGAGATTGATATTGTTGCAGACCTTCCGGCCGGCCGAGTAGGAAATTGTTCTTCTCCTGATACCCGAATCCGGGAGGTCTGCATTGGTGGTTGCAAAACGTGGTACGTAGCTGGTGGATTTAATTTGTGTTGTTTCTGGGCAAGCGGGAATAGCTGGATTAATTTGAGGGCAGGATGTGTTGGAATGAGCCACAGACCTGCAAATTGCACATGATGTATTTCAGCAGCCTAAAAACACTCTACTATGGAGATCTGGGTCGAATGCAGCCCAATAAGGGCACTTATTCCACTGGGCTCCCTGTACCACACATTTTACTGAAAATAATTTGTGATACATGTAAAAATGCCTCCTCCATCTATGAGGAAATGCCAAGAAAATAAGGTCAGCTTAATGGCTAAACGCAATTGCGAACTCTGAAAAAGAATGAATGCGTGAAGAAATGGGCACTGGATTTTTTTAGCATCACTGAAAAATCTCCGCAATCTATTTGGCGATTTGATTTGGCTGGAGGGATAAGAGAAAGAAGGGATGATAAATCGATTTCCGCAACTGTGAGAATCTGTGCCTGATCATGTGAAGTGACGGTGTTTGGTGGGGCAGGTAGAGCAGCTGCAGTACATAGAGTAAACTGAGATTTGGATTGAAGAACATAATTGGGAGGGAGAGAAACCAGGGGCCTTGTGTATAAAACTTTCAGTAGATTTCATCCTAAAACTGTACGTACGCCCAAACATTTTTCAGAATTATAAAACCATGCGTACGCCAGAACCTGTGCAAAAATCCTTTTATAAATCCCTGTCAGTGGAAGATGCGTCTCCTCCCCAAAATCACCATATATGGAGCTTACCATGCCTAGTTTTACTATGCATAACCTCATCTGCATATCATTTCCATGCATATTCCCATCCATGTGACACCATGTTTAACACCATCAAAGGTACAAGACGTTAGGAAAAAATGACATGCGGACTAAAAATGCCATTTGTACGGTACATTACATTGCTAAAAATCAATCACTGTCTTTGTTTTTTTAAAATAAATATATTGAAATGAATTTTTAAAAAATTGTATAAAATATTTCTCTGAGAATCTTTTTAGAATAGAGTGGATCTCTTTCTTTTCCACTGGCCAAAGCAG